CACCCATACCCATCTTTTAATTTCAAAGGTTTATTTCGTATTTTAAAGCTTTGCACAAACAAAACTCAACTTTTATTCTCAAACCGAAACATGCTAAAAAAGTTCATGAAACTCGCTGATTCTCATTAAGTCCAGTCCCTGTGGAAACGATCTTGGTACTATACCACTTTTTTACTTGAAGCGATCATAGTGTCGATGTGTACTTGCACCACCACTATGGGGACTTTGTGCCCACTGTGTGAATACTTACGATTCTAGCACATCAAGTTTTTGGCGTCGCTACCGGGAATTGGCGTGATTTTATCCTAAGATATTGATTTTCATTTGAGCCTTGGTCATTTGTTTCATTCGTTGTTCTTGTGTTGTATGGCACGGCTACAACACAGTGAGCTTTTACCTCTTGATCTTGAGTTATTAAAAACCATTAGGAGACATAGAAGAGGTAGAAACCATCGGCGAAATCCCACTATTAACCGTACCATGGGGAATAATCCACCTCAACGGGAAGCCACGGTTAAAATTGTCGATGACATAACTAGAGGCATATGAGACTACGCAACTCCCGAGTTTGGTCAATTGGCCTCGGGAATAGGTAGGCCCGAAATGACACCAACATGTTTTGAACCAAGCCGGTAATGTTTCAAATGATTTCCACAATGGGTCAGTTTGGGGGGATTATCTTCGGAAGATCCGCACTCTCATTTAAAATCTTTTATATAAATGACGGATCATTTTAAAATTTCTGAAGTCACACAAGAGGCCTTATGCTTGACACTTTTTCTTTACACATTGAAAGATAGAGCTAGAGCATGGCTAAATTCTCAACCACCAAACTCGATCCTTACTTGGAATGATTTGACGGAAAAATTTCTAAAAAAATACTTTCCTTCGACGAGGAATGTAAAAGTTAGAAATGAAATTATGACGCTTCGCCAAGAAGAAGATGAAGCGGTATCGGATGCATGGGAGAGATTCAAGGACCTTCTACGGAAGTGCCCTCATCATGGAATCCCTCATTATATTAAATTGAAAACCTTTTATAATGGACTTTCCAGTGCCGCTAAGATTATTCTTGACGCAACGGCCGGTGACGCTTTCACAGCTAAAACCTATAACGAGGGATATGACATTTTGGAACGAATTTCTAATAATAATACTGAATGGTCTAACCCTCGTGTTGTTATTTCTAAATATGCCTCGGGAATTCATGAGCTTGATGCCATTTCTTCTTTGAATGTCCAAATTGTTGCTTTAACTAATTTGGTTAAAAACAATTTAAACTTGAATGGGGAAAATAATCAAGTCCAATCCATAATGACAAATTCTTCCATGACTGAATCTTGTGTTTTCTGTGGTGAAAATCATTCTTATGAGTTTTGCCCCGGAAACCCCGTTTCGGTGAATTATGTTGGGAACCATACAAGAAATAGCCCATTTTCTTCTACGTACAATCCAAACTGGAGAAATCATCCAAATTTTTCATGGGCCGAAAATCCTGGACTTCAACCCCGTGGGGCAACCCATGTCCAAAATCGACCTCCGAATCCCCCGAGATTCCATCAAGGTGGTCATCACATGCAAGGAGGTAACCACATGTACCAAAATGGGAAATCTTCACAATCACATGCACTTAGGCAACAAAATGCATCGGAAGGTAATGGTTCACTCGAATCTTTACTTAAAGGTTTTATAAACCAAACCAATGCCACTTTGAGGAATTTTGAGACCCAACTCGGCCAATTTGCTGCGGATCTCAAGAATAGACCTCAAGGAACTGTGCTTAGTGACACGGAAACACCAAAAGAACATGTCAAAGCCGTGACTTTAAGATGTGATGAGAACTTGGGAGAATCGAGTGAAACAAAGGAAACACCTAATGAATCGATTTGTCAAGAAAATATTTCACATTCTTTTGACACATCGAAATTTCCAGTTCTATCTCCTCCAGCTAAAGTAGCACAGAATCCAGGTTCTGTCCAAGAAACAACAGCTATGCCCAGTTCCAGCACCACCTAGTCTCCACCTGACACTACTCACAGTGGGCAGAAACTGCCCACTCCCCAACAGAAAAAGATCGGTCCAACAGATTTAGATCTGAGAGATTTACCTTTTTCAGGTATAATGAAAGCCAAAAATGTGGATGTACAATTTAAGAAGTTCTTGGACATCTTTAAGCAACTCCACATTAACATACCTTTGGTAGAAGCTTTCGAACAAATGCCTAGCTATGTTAAATTTTTGAAAGACATCCTCAATAAAAATAGAAGACTCAGTGAGTTTGAGACCGTGTCTTTGACAAAAGAATGTAGTGCCCTTCTTACTTGCAAACTTTCCCCAAAATTAAAAGACCCTAGAAGTTTCACCATCCCGTGTTTGATTGGAGGGAAAAAAGTAGGTCATGCCTTGTGTGACCTTGGGGCAAGTATAAGTCTCATGCCTTTGTCCATCTTTAATAAATTGGGAATAGGGGAAGTTCGACCAACCACCGTGACTTTGCAACTAGCAGATAGGTCCTTGGCATATCCAAAAGGCAAAATTGAAGACATTTTGGTAAATGTGGACAAATTCATTATTCCGGACTTTCTAGTATTAGATTATGAAACCGATAGAAATGTTCCGATAATCTTAGGGAGACCCTTTCTTGCTATGGGTAGAACATTGATTGACGTACAAAAGGGAGAGTTGACCATGAGAGTGAACGACCAGCATGTGACTTTCAATGTGTTCAAAACTCTTAAGTTCAATGGGGAAATTGAGGACCGTTCGTCTATTTACTCAGTAGGTGAAGATTTAGATCTAAGTTTGATAGATTGTGCCCACAGTGGAGACACTGTGGGTATGGCAGAAGACATTTGTGAAGAAGACTTACTTAAGGACATAACTGCCTTTGAACAGTTAGATTATAAAGATATACCAACCCAAACCCCATCCATTGTAGAAGCACTCAACTTGAAATCTTAAGTATGCATATCTTATGGAAGGAGAAAAATTGCCTGTGATTATTTCTTCCAACTTAAGTAGTGAACAAGAAGAAAGGTTGATAGATTTGCTAAAAGACCACAAGAAAACCTTTGGTTGGACCATAGCTGATATTAGGGGAATAACTCTGTCTCTTTGCCAACATAAGATCATCTTGGAAGAAAATATTGTTGGAAAGGTACAACCTCAAAGAAGACTAAACCTCATCATGAAAGAAGTGGTTAAGAAGGAAATCTTGAAGTGATTAGACGCGTGTATCATATACCCCATTGCTAGTAGCGGTTGGGTAAGTCTGGTACAATGCATGCCAAAGAAAGTGGTACCACGGTAATCACCAACGACAAAAACAAACTTATCCCAACTAGGATCGTTACCGGGTGGAGGATTTGTATGGACTATAGGCAATTGAACTTAGCTACTAAGAAAGATCATTTTCCTTTGCCTTTCATAGATCAAATGCTAGATCGATTGGCCGGAAAGGAGTTTTATTTCTTTTTGGATGGATACTCGGGATACAATCAAATTCATATTGCACCCGAAGATCAAGAGAAAACTACTTTCACTTGTCCCTTCGGAACTTTTGCTTTCCGACGTATGTCATTCGGTTTATGTAATGCTCCGGCCACTTTCCAACGATGTATGATGTCTATTTTTTCGGATATGATTAAGGATACTATGGAATTTTTTATGGATGATTTTTCGGTTATTGGCACTAATTTTGAAAATTGTCTTGAAAACTTAAAGAAAAGTTTGGAGAGATGTGAGACCCATGACTTGATTTTAAATTGGGAAAAATACCATTTTATGGTACAAGAGGGAATTGTTTTGGGTCACATGGTTTCGAAAAAAGGTTTGGAAGTTGACAAAGCTAAAATTGAGATGATAATGCAATTGCCCTAACCAACTTCGGTCAAAGGCATTCGTAGTTTTTTGGGACATGCGGGTTTTTACCGACGGTTTATTAAGGATTTTTCTAAAATTGCAAAACCCTTATGTAACTTGTTGCATGTTGACCAAACTTTTGAGTTCACCTTCGATTGTAAAAAGGCTTTTGAAACAATCAAGAATGCTCTTGTCTCGACATCCATTATCATTACTCCAAATTGGTCCCTACCTTTTGAGGTAATGTGTGACGCGAGTGATTGGGCCATGGGTGCCGTTTTGGGACAAAAGAAAAATAAGATTTTTCACCCCATTTACTATGCAAGTAAGACTCTTGTTGAAGCTCAATTAAATTACACCACAACGGAAAAAGAATTACTTGCGGTAGTATTTGCTTTTGATCGTTTCCGTTCATACTTGATTGGTACCAAAGTCACTATTCATACAGATCATTTCACGATTAAGTATTTATTTAATAAAGCTGATGTTAAGCCACGACTTATTAGATGGATCCTTCTCTTGCAAGAATTTGATCTTGAAATTGTTGACCGAAAGGGAAGTGACAATCAAGTGGCCGATCACCTTTCTAGAATTGAAGGAAATATATCAAGTGGGGGGAGTCATGAGATTAAAGAAGTTTTTCCAGATGAATATGTTTTGGCCATACAACACAGTTTTCAAAAACAACATCATTGGTATGCAGATATCATCAACTATCTTGCATGTGGCTTTAAACCATATCATTTTCAAGGAAATCGGTTTTAAAATTTTCTTAACGATTGCAAGCACTATTTATGGGACGATCCGTTCCTTTATAAAATGAGATCGGATCAAATTTTGAGAAAATGTGTCCCGGGTGCTGAAATTCAAGCTATGTTAAAGGAGTGTCATGCATCGCCGTACGAAGGCCACTTTGCTGGACAACGTACGGCCGCTAAAATTTTACAAAGTGGATTTTTTTGGCCTACCATGTTTAAAGATGCTTTTGAATTTGTGAAGAGTTGTGACCAATGCCAACGCATGGGAAATTTGTCCCAAAGAAACGAGATGCCCTTGAACAATATTTTAGAAGTCGAACTTTTCGATGTTTGGGGTATTGACTTCATGGGACCATTCCCCATGTCTTTTTACAATCAATACATTTTGGTTGCGGTAGACTATGTCTCCAAATGGATAGAAGCAAAGGCTTGCCCAAGAAATGATGCAGAAACGGTAGTGGAATTTTTGCATAAAAACATTTTTGTTCGTTTTGGAACCCCCCCGAGCCTTGATAAGCGATGAAGTGACTCATTTCATAAACAAAGTGCTAAGTGCCGCTCTTGAAAAGTACAACATCCAACATAGAGTAGCCACGRCTTACCACCCGCAAACCAATGGTCTTGCGGAACTTTCAAATCGCGAAATAAAAAATATTTTTAAAAAAGTGGTCAAGCCAAACCGAAAGGATTGGTCGCTTAAATTGGATGATGCACTTTGGGCCTACCGTACCGCTTTCAAGACTCTGTTGGGCATGTCTCCGTACCAACTTGTTTTTGAAAAATCCTGTCACCTCCCGTTGGAATTGGAGTATAAGGCATTTTGGGCTATTAAGGAACTAAATTTAAATGCAACTCTTGCGGGTGAGAAAAGGAAGCTCCAACTCAATGAGTTGGAAGAGTGGAGGTACCAAGCCTACGAGAATGCCAATATATATAAAGAAAAGACGAAAATATGGCATGATCGTAGGATCAATCAGAGAATTTTTGAAAAAGGTTAAAAAGTTCTTCTCTTCAATTCTAGATTAAAGCTTTTCCCTGGAAAACTTAAATCTAGATGGTCGGGACCTTTTACTATTGTTGAAGTGGGAAAATTTGGAACAATAGATCTCTTTAACCCACAAGACAATATTGTTTTTAAAGTGAATGGGCATCGGGTCAAACATTTCTTCCCGGAAGGAATGCAAGATCCACGCCAAAAATCTCTCTGATTTTCATCAAATCATCTGTGTAAATATTGTATACATATTTTATTTTCGTACTCTATGTTTGTTTCATGCAGGTGTGCTTGCTGTAAGCATCTCATTCCCACATTCTAAAGTGGATTTTTGGTAAAAAATTAATTTTGACGGTTTTTGTGGGTTTTCTTAAAAGAAAAAGAAAAGGAAAATAAGAAAAAGAAATGGGATTTTAAAAATGAAAGAAAATGATGAGTTTTCTGATTTAGGTGGCTTGTGTAAGATGATGGGTCAAAAACTTTTCAAATTTTTTATTCAAAAATCTTTTACACAAAGGGTTTTGCATGGGGGTGGTTTCCTAGGACAATAACCACCGGGTTTTTAAGAAAAAGGGGGGAAATTTTGTTTCTTTTGCAAACACCCTTCATTTTCTTCATTTATCCTTTTCATGGCAAAATCGCGGAAACCACCCACCGGCCGAGTTTCAACGCAGCGGTCTTCAAGAAGAGCGGTCGCCGGCGAGTCTTCCTCCGCTGTTTTCGTCGCATCACCCGTCGCACCATCGATGGCCGATTCAGAACCCTTGTCTCCCGATCCCTTTGTTTTCGCACCGCCGGCTCGAGAATACATCACCGCCACCGCCGGTCGCTCCACGGCCATCCGGGTAGACTACGACGAGTCACACGCGGTTTGTCACTCCGGTAAGCATTTCTAAAACTCCTCCCTTAGTCACTACTTTATTTCCTTCCACCATCATCATCCCTACTATCTCCACCACCGCCAGCGCCGACCCGTCTGTTTCACGACAGTCGGCCGCCGTGCCTTTTCCCCTACAACAACTAAACCCCTTTTTCTAGCCCTAACTACACCACCACCCACCATTTCCACTCCTTCACCCATTACAACGCCTGTTAGCCTTCCACCCACACAACAGCCTCCTATACCCCTTCCATCTACACCACTCGGACCACCCACCATTCATGACTTTGACCTTAACCTATGTGATACCTTAAGGGAGGAGTTCCAGTTTGATTTCGAAGACAATAACTCCTCAAATCCAGAGGAGTTGTTTCCATTTTCTGTGCCAAAGACAATTGAGGAACAACCACAAAAGAAGCCTCAAGAAACACAACTGGAATATGCTCCTCCTATTGAGAAAACACCCGTCACTGCCCCCAGTGGGCAGACTGTGAGCACATAATCCTCTTCGGGAAGCACTGCT